GCAGAGACTTGCAGAGATGATGGATCTACTTCTTGAACTATAGAGAGTCCTATAGCCTAGTGAAGACAATGGTGTTTCATGCACTGTAGGCAGCAAAGGAGCTGTCAATAGCTATGAAAGATCCAAATAGAGGGTAACACTCACATAAAAAAAAATAAAAAAAGTGTTTGTTTTATACAGCAAAGGTAAAACTCCACAACCAGTGGTGTTTTAAAGCACACTAGTAGAGATGCAGTGGAGTTATGTCCTACAGTCAGGAGGACTTCAGTGGAGATGGTGACTGTCTCTGAAAGGCCTGAGGTGGAGATGGTGACTGTCTCTGAAAGGCCTGAGGTGGAGATGGTGACTGTCTCTGAAAGGCCTGAGGTGGAGATGGTGACTGTCTCTGAAAGGCCTGAGGTGGAGATGGTGACGGTCACTGAAAGGCCTGAGGTGGAGATGGTGACTGTCACTGAAAGGCCTGAGGTGGAGATGGTGACGGTCACTGAAAGGCCTGAGGTGGAGATGGTGACTGTCTCTGAAAGGCCTGAGGTGGAGATGGTGACGGTCACTGAAAGGCCTGAGGTGGAGATGGTGACTGTCACTGAAAGGCCTGAGGTGGAGATGGTGACTGTCTCTGAAAGGCCTGAGGTGGAGATGGTGACGGTCACTGAAAGGCCTGAGGTGGAGATGGTGACGGTCACTGAAAGGCCTGAGGTGGAGATGGTGACTGTCTCTGAAAGGCCTGAGGTGGAGATGGTGACTGTCACTGAAAGGCCTGAGGTGGAGATGGTGACTGTCTCTGAAAGGCCTGAGGTGGAGATGGTGACTGTCACTGAAAGGCCTGAGGTGGAGATGGTGACTGTCACTGAAAGGCCTGAGGTGGAGATGGTGACTGTCACTGAAAGGCCTGAGGTGGAGATGGTGACTGTCTCTGAAAGGCCTGAGGTGGAGATGGTGACTGTCTCTGAAAGGCCTGAGGTGGAGATGGTGACTGTCTCTGAAAGGCCTGAGGTGGAGATGGTGACTGTCACTGAAAGGCCTGAGGTGGAGATGGTGACTGTCTCTGAAAGGCCTGAGGTGGAGATGGTGACTGTCTCTGAAAGGCCTGAGGTGGAGATGGTGACTGTCTCTGAAAGGCCTGAGGTGGAGATGGTGACTGTCACTGAAAGGCCTGAGTTGGAGATGGTGACTGTCACTGAAAGGCCTGAGGTGGAGATGGTCTGGACAGTATTTTCCTTGTGGTCCACATACTAGTAGTATCCATCCTCCAGGTCAGGGGGGGCATAGGCCTCACACCATAATCATCAAACAGAGGTAGGGTAGCAGATGAGGGGACATAGGCCTCACACCATAATCATCAAACAGAGGTAGGGTAGCAGATGAGGGGGCATAGGCCTCACACCATAATCATCAAAAGGCTAATGTGGTCCTTTAATAAAATTGTATTTATTTTATTTCACCTTTATTTAACCAGGTAAGCCAGTTGAGAACAAGTTCTCATTTACAACTGCGACCTGGCCAAGATAAAGCAAAGCAGTGTGATTTTAAAAACAACAACAACACAGAGTTACATATGGGGTAAAACAAAACAATAAGATGAGGGTTTGAAATCAGCTCCATGTTAGCAGTCTCCTCCCCCCTACCACTGTTCTTTAGGGGTGCTGCCAGACCTCCACCAATCAGAACCAAGATCAGGAGGAGAGCCATCCAATCGTGGGTGTTCATCAGAACAACTATTTTCAAATGTCAACAAACATTAGACTGATGTAGATTGAGTCTGACAGACAACACTATAAAACCTATTGATGCGGAATGAGTCTTGAGTCACTGTAAAATCTATTGAAAAGGAACAATTATAACCACACATACCTTTTATGCCACATAGCACCTCCCCTCCGCGAGCGTCTGTGGTTGTTGTGGAACACCTGAAGCAGTCCTGCTGCTTGTTTTTCTTCAACTATAAACACCTAATTGTCTGAAATATTGCTAGGTTGTCTAGCCAGTCAGTAATGACAAGCTAGAGTTGATTTAAAGTATTTAACCATTCTGTGATGTCATAATGAGACATGCCATCACGAACCATGCCATGGTTTCTCAGGGTTTTAAGATACCGTACCTTATCTTCAACCTAGTGGTTTCTCAGGGTTTTAAGATACCGTACCTTATCTTCAACCTAGTGGTTTCTCAGGGTTTTAAGATACCGTACCTTATCTTCAACCTAGTGGTTTCTCAGGGGTTCAAGTGACAGAACGTAGCCTACTGTCTGCATCCAATCAAAGTAAGCAATGGTAACTCTCCAGTTTATGGACCTAAAAGCCTATGATGATGAGACTAACATGAGAATATCATGACACCTTCTAGAAAGACGCTCTTTAATGGACACTCAGTCAAAATCCTTCCCATAAACTGCCAGAAGAACATGTCCAGCATTTTCTTTTATAGAATACTCCAAATGTTATGCAGAACATTACACAATGCTCCTATGAAGAAAAAAAAAAGGGCCCAACTGATTTGAATTTCTAATTGAAATGCAGACTACTTAAGTATCAGGTTTCAAAACATTCAGTGCTGCTATTGGATGTGACGAAACACAGGCAGTATAGCAGCTTTCATTGATTTCAAAGAAAGCATTCACTCAATGGCTGATGTCTGGAGTGTAGCAGGCCTGTTACGGGCTGTAGGAAGGTGAACACACAACACACCACCCAATGCAAGCATCCAGGCTCTGTCGTAGCCGGCCGCGACCGGGAGACCCATGGGGCGGCGCACAATTGGCCCAGCGTCGTCCAGGGTAGGGGAGGGAATGGCCGGCAGGGGATGTAGCTCAGTTGGTAGTGCATGGCGTTTGCAACGCCAGGGTTGTGGGTTTGATAAAATAATATATGTGCTAACTGTAAGTCGCTCTGGATAAGAGCGTCTGCTAAATGACTAAAATGTAAAATGTTGATAACCAAGAGTCTCTCTCTCTGTCTCTCTCTCTCTGTCTCTCTGTCTCTGTCTCTCTCTCTCTCTCTCTCTCTCTCTCTCTCTCTCTCTGTCTCTCTGTCTCTCTCTCTCTGTCTCTGTCTCTCTCTCTCTCTGTCTCTGTGTCTCTCTCTCTGTCTCTCTGTCTCTGTCTCTGTCTCTCTCTCGCTGTCTCTCTCTCTGTCTCTCTCTCTCTCTCTCTCTGTCTCTCTCTCTGTCTCTCTCTCTGTGTCTCTCTGTGTTTATAGTTACTGGGACACGGCGTATGACAGTGATGTAATGGACAACAGAGTGGGACTCAACCTACTTTACACTCAGGTGAGTTCGGAACCTACTATATATATATACTGCTCAAAAAAATAAAGGGAACACTTAAACAACACAATGTAACTCCAAGTCAATCACACTTCTGTGAAATCAAACTGTCCACTTAGGAAGCAACACTGATTGACAATACATTTCACATGCTGTTGTGCAAATGGAATAGACAACAGGTGGAAATTATAGGCAATTAGCAAGACACCCCCAATAAAGGAATGGTTCTGCAGGTGGTGACCACAGACCACTTCTCAGTTCCTATGCTTCCTGGCTGATGTTTTGGTCACTTTTGAATGCTGGCGGTGCTTTCACTCTAGTGGTAGCATGAGACAGAATCTACAACCCACACAAGTGGCTCAGGTAGTGCAGCTCATCCAGGATGGCACATCAATGCGAGCTGTGGCAAGAAAGTTTGCTGTGTCTGTCAGCGTAGTGTCCAGAGCATGGAGGCGCTACCAGGAGACAGGCCAGTACATCAGGAGACGTGGAGGAGGCCGTAGGAGGGCAACAACCCAGCAGCAGGACTGCTACCTCCGCCTTTGTGCAAGGAGGAGCAGGAGGAGCACTGCCAGAGCCCTGACTGTCCAGGAGTTGGCGGATGCTTTAGTCCAGGTCTGGGAGGAGATCCCTCAGGAGACCATCCGCCACCTCATCAGGAGCATGCCCAGGCGTTGTAGGGAGGTCATACAGGCACGTGGAGGCCACACACACTACTGAGCCTCATTTTGACTTGTTTTAAGGACATTACATCAAAGTTGGATCAGCCTGTAGTGTGGTTTTCCACTTTCATTTTGAGGGTGACTCCAAATCCAGACCTCCATGGGTTGATAAATTTGATTTCCATTGATAATTTCTGTGTGATTTTGTTGTCAGCACATTCAACTATGTAAAGAAAAAAGTATTTAATAAGATTATTTCATTCATTCATATCTAGGATGTGTTATTTTAGTGTTCCCTTTATTTTTGTGAGCAGTGTGTGTGTGTGTATGTATGTATATGTGTGTATGTGTATATATATATATATTAGTACTGTGTTATATTTTAGCCTGTGTGCTCTTTCAAACACATTGGCTGTCTGAAGGCTGATATAAAGGCTGACGTTGAAAACACAACATCTAAAGTTTATATACTTATATACAATACTTTACCTTGTATGGATAATATCTTACTTACTTAAAACATAGTTTTTTTGTTTTTAATTTTAATGGTTTTTACACCTGAAGGTGATTATGCAATTATAATACAACTTAACTATATATAATAGTGTACATTTGGTTGTAAATGTTATATTTAGTAATAACACGGCATCATTATTATTATACAACATTATAATACAACTTAACAGCAATAAAAGTTCAGTAAAACTAAACAGAAATAATGTAGTTGTTAGTATTTATTTAATATTAACAGTTGATTTTCCAGAGGGAAGCGAAAAACTAGAAAGCCATTTAAGCCAATATGGAGTAAACTGGAAAAATGTTCCCTGATCTCTCTTAAGACAATCGAGCAAGCTCATCGAAAATACATAAATAATCAACATGTACCCATTAACTATTTACATTAAAATGTATCTTAAAGTTGACTGTAGAAACGCCTTAGTACTACATTACCTCTAAACAATAGTGAGTTTTTACAGAATATACAATTTACAATCAAATGTACATTCATCCAATGGCATTTGGATTATAATGACATGAAGAAAATGTAATTGACAGAGGAGGGAGCAGACTGAATTAATGGCTAAGGTAAGGGCTAGAATTAGCTCCGGATCTTCTAACAGCATGTGTGCATGTATTATAAATTAGCAGCGTGGCAGTTTTCCCAAAGTTCTCAAAGTTTGCTGTATCTATAATAGCAGCCAAGGACGTTCGCTAGCTTATTTGTTTGTTCTCTGATTTACACGCAAGTGTCCAGGTCAGCAGTTTACACATGTGACTCTCTTCAGCCAGATGAAAAACCTCCCATAGCAAAATATACCTAGCTAGCTAACTACCTTCCCTTTGCTTCTCAGTGAACTGGTGTTAGCTAGCTAGCTAGCTAGCTACAGCTGCTAGCCTTTTACTAACTAGCTAGCTAGCTAGCTAGCTAGCTACAGCTGCTAGCCTTTTACTAGCTAGCTGCTGCTGCCACACAGCAACAGAGATGTTAGCTTTGTCACAAATGCTATAAAAAGGTAGCATGTTGTTGGTTTTTATTGGGCAGAAATGTGGATGTGTGAGCTGTAAATTGTGAATTTAATAAAAAAAACTGTTGCACCTACAAACATACTAAGTCCAAATGGATCTAATGGTCACCTTACGGACGCTGTAGATTTGGGCAAAAAATTGTCTGATGACCCTAATGCTAACAACCCGGTAAAAAAATCTGGTGGTTCCCGGTAACGGCCGGACGGATCATGATGAGAGGTGTGGATTGTGTTGTGTACCTCCAATCAAGTTGATTTGTGAATTTTCAATGACATTGATGTGTTATTGGCTTCGATACAATGGTAGGGACATTTTAATTATTACTTTTATTTTTAAATGTTGTATCTCCTTTTTCTCCCCAATTGGTAATTACGATCTTGTCTCATCGCTGCAACTCCCCAACGGACTCGGGAGAGGCGAAGGTCGAGAGTCATGCGTCCTCCGAAACATGACCTGCCAAGCTGCGCTGCTTTTTAACACACTGCTCGCTTAACCCGGAAGCCAGCCGCACCAATGTGTCGGAAGAAACATCGTCCAACTGACAACCGAAATCAGCTTGCAGTGCGCCCGGCCCGCCACAAGGAGTCGCTAGAGCACGATGTGCCAAGGAAAGGGAGGTTTGGCATCCTAAACCCATGGTTACATCCCAAATGGCACCCTACTCCCTATATAGTGCACTATTTATTTTTTATTTTTACTATGGCCCATAATCCTCTGGTCAAAATGAGTGCACTATATAGGGAATAGGGTGCCATTTGCAACGGAGCCCATGTCTTTTTATAGAACACCCCCTATGCAGCCACACACACACACGCACACACACACACACACACACACGCTCGCACACACACACACACACACACGCTCGCACACACACACACACACACACGCGCACGCTCAGCAGCAACAACATGCTGGTGTTTTCTTAAAGCATTTCAGAGATTGCTGATTTGATTAGAATCTGCCTGCTGGCTGCTGCCTCAGCGCTCTCGCTGTGTGTGTGTGTGTGTGTGTGTGTGTGTGTGTGTGTGTGTGTGGGGCTGTTACCTCAGTGTGGGGGCACAGCTAATGTTACGGGCCAAAGAATACAATCTTTTCTTGGAAAGAGAATCAACTCGTGTGTGTGCTTGCCGTTGTGTGCGACGTGTGTGTGTCATTGACTTGTGTGTGTATGTAGCTGCCAACTCATTTGTGTTTAATTCTACTTGAACAAAACAACATTAGGAATGGGTGCTTTGAGACTTTAAACACAGACACACAATGACAGACACCTCAAATCCAACGTGCGGAGAGCCAAAGATGAACCTCTCGCTCCTACTTCTCCACCTACAGCACGTGTCCGACACAGCATGTAGAGTGATACTCGTTAACAGATCCACAATGTATTAGCTCAATCCCTGCGGATGTCAAGGCTCCAAGTTAGATGTAGATGTGGTTCGTCCTGATCTTTTAGTATTGTCTCTCACCAGCTGTATGTAATACTGTCTCCACCAGCTGTAATGTATTACTGCTCCACCAGCTGTAATGTTTACTGTCTCCACCAGCTGTATTGTAATTACTGTCTCCACCAGCTGTAATGTAATATGTCTCCACCAGCTGTAATGTAATTATTGTCTCCACCACTGTAATGTATATGTCTTGACTTAAACGTCCACCACTGTATGTATTACCGTCTCCACCAGCTTGTAATGTATACTGTCCCCTCCACCAGCTGTAATGATTACTGTCTCCACCACCTGTAATGTATCACTGTCTCCACCAGCTCGTAATGTATTACTGTCTCCACCACTGTAATGATGATTACTGTCCTCCACCAGCTGTAATGTATACTGTCTCCACCAGCTGTAATGTATTACTGTCTCCACCAGCTGTAATGTATTACTGTCTCCACCAGCTGTAATTGATTACTGTCTCCACCAGCTGTAATGTAATACTGTCTCCACCAGCTGTAATGTATACTGTCTCCACCAGCTGTAATTAATACTGCTCCACCAGCTGTAATGTATTACTGTCTCCACCAGCTGTAATGTATTACTGTCTCCACCAGCTGTAATGTATTACTGTCTCCACCAGCTGTAATGTATTACTGTCTCCACCAGCTGTAATGTATTACTGTCTCCACCAGCTGTAATGTAATACTGTCTCCACCAGCTGTAATGTAATACTGTCTCCACCAGCTGTAATGTATTACTGTCTCCACCAGCTGTAATATGTATTACTGTCTCCACCAGCTGTAATGTATACTGTCTCCACCAGCTGTAATGTATACTGTCTCCACCAGCTGTAATGTATTACTGTCTCCACCAGCTGTAATGTAATACTGTCTCCACCAGCTGTAATGTAATACTGTCTCCACCAGCTGTAATGTATTACTGTCTCCACCAGCTGTAATGTATTACTGTCTCCACCAGCTGTAATGTATTACTGTCTCCACCAGCTGTAATGTAATGTATTACTGTCTCCACCAGCTGTAATGTATTACTGTCTCCACCAGCTGTAATGTAATACTGTCTCCACCAGCTGTAATGTAATACTGTCTCCACCAGCTGTAATGTATTACTGTCTCCACCAGCTGTAATGTATTACTGTCTCCACCAGCTGTAATGTATACTGTCTCCACCAGCTGTATGTATTACTGTCTCCACCAGCTGTAATGTAATATACTGTCTCCACCAGCTGTAATGTATACTGTCTCCACCACTGTAATGTATTACTGTCTCCACCAGCTGTAATGTAATTACTGTCTCCACCAGCTGTAATGTAATACTGTCTCCACCAGCTTATGTAATCTGTCTCCCAGCGTTTATTTATTACTGTCTTCACCAGCTGTAATGTATTATGTCTCCACCAGCTGTAATGTATTACTGTCTCCACCAGCTGTAATGTATTACTGTCCCACCAGCTGTAATGTAATACTGTCTCCACCAGCTGCAATGTAATACTGTCTCCACACAGCTGTTAATGTAATTACTGTCTCCACCAGCTGTAATGTATTACTGTCTCCACCAGCTTGTAATGTATTACTGTCTCCACCAGCTGTAATGTTTACTGGTCTCCACCAGCTGTAATGTAATACTGTCTCCACCAGCTGTAATGTATTACTGTCTCCACCAGCTGTAATGTAATACTGTCTCCACCAGCTTAATGTTTACTGTCTCCACCAGGTGTATGTAATGTATTAACTGTCTCCACCAGCTGTAAGTATTACTGTCTCCACCAGCTGTAATGTCTTACTGTCTCCACCAGCTGTAAATATCTTACTGTCTCCACCAGCTGTAATGTAATACTGTCTCCACCAGCTGTAATGTAATGACTCGTCCTCCACCAGCTGTAATGTATTACTGTCTCCACCACTGTAATGTATTACTGTCTCCACCAGCTGTAATGTATTACTGTCTCCACCAGCTGTAATGTATTACTGTCTCCACCAGCTGTAATTTTACTGTCTCCACCAGCTGTAATGTAATACTGTCTCCACCAGCTGTAATGTAATACTGTCTCCACCAGCTGTAATGTATTACTGTCTCCACCAGCTGTAATGTATTACTGTCTCCCTCTCTCCACCAGCTGTAATGTATACTGTCTCCACCAGCTGTAATGTAATACTGTCTCCACCAGCTGTAATGTATACTGTCTCCACCAGCTGTAATGTATTACTGTCTCCAACCTGTGTAATGTATTACTGTCTCCACCAGCTGTAATGTAATGTATTACTGTCTCCACCAGCTGTAATAATACTGTCTCCACCACTGTAATGTAATACTGTCTCCACCAGCTGTAATGTATTACTGTCTCCACCAGCTGTAATGTATACTGTCTCCACCAGCTGTAATGTATTACTGTCTCCTCCACCAGCTGTATGTATACTTACTGTCTCCACCAGCTGTAATGTAATTAACTGTCTCCACCAGCTGTAATGTAATTACTGTCTCCACCAGCTGTAATGTATTACTGTCTCCACCAGCTGTAATGTATTACTGTCTCCACCAGCTGTAATGTAATGTATTACTGTCTCCACCAGCTGTAATGTAATACTGTCTCCACCAGCTGTAATGTAATACTGTCTCCACCAGCTGTAATGTATTACTGTCTCCACCAGCTGTAATGTAATACTGTCTCCACCAGCTGTAATGTATTACTGTCTCCACCAGCTGTAATGTATTACTGTCTCCACCAGCTGTAATGTATTACTGTCTCCACCAGCTGTAATGTAATACTGTCTCCACCAGCTGTAATGTATTACTGTCTCCACCAGCTGTAATGTATATACTGTCTCCACCAGCTGTAATGTATACTGTCCTCCCACCAGCTGTAATGTAATACTGTCTCCACCAGCTGTAATGTATTACTGTCTCCACCAGCTGTAATGTATACTGTCTCCACCAGCTGTAATGTATTACTGTCTCCACCAGCTGTAATGTATTACTGTCTCCACCAGCTGTAATGTATTACTGTCTCCACCAGCTGTAATTATTACTGTCTCCACCAGCTGTAATGTATTACTGTCTCCACCAGCTGTAATGTAATACTGTCTCCACCAGCTGTAATGTATTACTGTCTCCACCAGCTGTAATGTATTACTGTCTCCACCAGCTGTAATGTATTACTGTCTCCACCAGCTGTAATGTATACTGTCTCCACCAGCTGTAATGTATTACTGTCTCCACCAGCTGTAATGTAAATTACTGTCTCCACCAGCTGTAATGTATTACTGTCTCCACCAGCTGTAATAATGTATTACTGTCTCCACCAGCTGTAATTAATACTGTCTCCACCAGCTGTAATGTAATACTGTCTCCACCAGCTGTAATGTAATTACTGTCTCCACCAGCTGTAATGTATTACTGTCTCCACCAGCTGTAATGTATTACTGTCTCCACCAGCTGTAATGTATTACTGTCTCCACCAGCTGTAATGTAATATACTGTCTCCACCAGCTGTAATGTAATACTGTCTCCACCAGCTGTAATGTATTACTGTCTCCACCAGCTGTAATGTATTACTGTCTCCACCAGCTGTAATGTAATGTATTACTGTCTCCACCAGCTGTAATGTAATACTGTCTCCACCAGCTGTATGTAATACTGTCTCCACCAGCTGTAATGTATTACTGTCTCCACCAGCTGTAATCTGTAATTTACTGTCTCCACCAGCTGTAATGTAATACTGTCTCCACCAGCTGTAATTTGTATTACTGTCTCCACCAGCTGTAATGTATTACTGTCCTCCACCAGCTGTAATGTATACTGTCCTCCCACCAGCTGTAATGTATTACTGTCTCCACCAGCTGTAATGTAATGTATACTGTCCTCCACCAGCTGTAATGTAATTACTGTCCTCCACCAGCTGTAATGTAATTACTGTCTCCACCAGCTGTAATGTATTACTGTCTCCACCAGCTGTAATGTAAATGTATTTACTGTCTCCACCAGCTGTAATGTATTACTGTCTCCACCAGCTGTAATGTATTACTGTCCTCCACCAGCTGTAAATGTAATACTGTCTTCCTCACCAGCTGTAATGTAATGTAATACTGTCTCCACCAGCTGTAATGTATACTGTCTCCACCAGCTGTAATGTAATTACTGTCTCCACCAGCTGTAATGTAATACTGTCTCCACCAGCTGTAATGTAATACTGTCTCCACCAGCTGTAATGTAATACTGTCTCCACCAGCTGTAATGTATTACTGTCTCCACCAGCTGTAATGTATTACTGTCTCCACCAGCTGTAATGTATTACTGTCTCCACCAGCTGTAATGTAATACTGTCTCCACCAGCTGTAATGTAATACTGTCTCCACCAGCTGTAATGTAATACTGTCTCCACCAAGCTGTAATGTATTACTGTCTCCACCAGCTGTAATGTATTACTGTCTCCACCAGCTGTAATGTATTACTGTCTCCACCAGCTGTAATGTATTACTGTCTCCACCAGCTGTAATGTCTTACTGTCTCCACCAGCTGTAATGTCTTACTGTCTCCACCAGCTGTAATGTAATACTGTCTCCACCAGCTGTAATGTAATACTGTCTCCACCAGCTGTAATGTATTACTGTCTCCACCAGCTGTAATGTATATACTGTCTCCACCAGCTGAGTAATGTAACTGTCTCCCACCAGCTGTAATGTATTACTGTCTCCACCTCACGTCAGCTGTAATGTATGTATTACTGTCTCCACCAGCTGTAATGTAATACTGTCTCCACCAGCTGTAATGTAATGTATTACTGTCTCCACCAGCTGTAATGTATTACTGTCTCCACCAGCTGTAATGTAATACTGTCTCCACCAGCTGTAATGTAATACTGTCTCCACCAGCTGTAATGTATTACTGTCTCCACTAGCCACCAGCTGTAATGTAATATACTGTCTCCACCAGCTGTAATGTAATACCTTCTCCACCAGCTGTAATGTAATACTGTCTCCACCAGCTGTAATGTAATGTAATACTGTCTCCACCAGCTGTAATGTATTACTGTCTCCACCAGCTGTAATGTAATGTAATACTGTCTCCACCAGCTGTAATGTATTACTGTCTCCGCCAGGTGTAATGTAATACTGTCTCCACCAGCTGTAATGTATTACTGTCTCCACCAGGTGTAATGTAATACTGTCTCCATCAGCTGTAATGTAATACTGTCTCCCCAGGAGCTGTCACTGTAATGTACTGTCTCTCCACCAGCTGTAATGTAATACTGTCTCCACCAGCTGTAATGTAATACTGTCTCCACCAGCTGTAATGTAATACTGTCTCCACCAGCTGTAATGTAATACTGTCTCCACCAGCTGTAATGTAATACTGTCTCCACCAGCTGTAATGTATTACTGTCTCCACCAGCTGTAATGTAATACTGTCTCCACCAGCTGTAATGTATTACTGTCTCCACCAGCTGTAATGTATTACTGTCTCCACCAGCTGTAATGTAATACTGTCTCCACCAGCTGTAATGTAATACTGTCTCCACCAGCTGTAATGTAATGTAATACTGTCTCCACCAGCTGTAATGTAATACTGTCCTCCACCATGCTGTAATGTAATTACTGTCTCCCCCTTCTCACCAGCTGTAATGTATTCCACGTATTACTGTCTCCACCAGGTGTAATGTATTACTGTCTCCACCAGCTGTAATGTATTACTGTCTCCACCAGCTGTAATGTAATACTGTCTCCACCAGCTGTAATGTAATGTATTACTGTCTCCACCAGCTGTAATGTATTACTGTCTCCACCAGCTGTAATGTATTACTGTCTCCACCAGCTGTAATGTATTACTGTCTCCACCAGCTTTAATGTATTACTGTCTCCACCAGCTGTAATGTAATACTGTCTCCACCAGCTGTAATGTAATACTGTCTCCACCAGCTGTAATGTAATACTGTCTCCACCAGCTGTAATGTATTACTGTCTCCACCAGCTGTAATGTATTACTGTCTCCACCAGCTGTAATGTATTACTGTCTCCACCAGCTGTAATGTAATACTGTCTCCACCAGCTGTAATGTATTACTGTCTCCACCAGCTGTAATGTATTACTGTCTCCACCAGCTGTAATGTATTACTGTCTCTACCAGCTGTAATGTATTACTGTCTCCACCAGCTGTAATGTATTACTGTCTCCACCAGCTGTAATGTAATACTGTCTCCACCAGCTGTCTAGTGGAGGAGGAGCTAACATTCCACATATTGTACTCTGTCATGTCACAGGGACATTATCATGCTGAAAACAGAAAAGGGCCTTCCCCAAACTGTTACCACGAAGTTGGAAGCACAGAATCGTCTAGAATGTCATTGTATGCTGTAGCGTTAAGATTTCCCTTCACTGGAACTAAGGGGCCTGGCCCGAACCATGAAAAACAGCCCCAGACCATTATTCTTCCTGGTGATCTTAGGCTTGTGTGTGGTTGCTCTGCCATGGAAACCCATTTCATGAAGCTCCTGACGAACAGTTCTTGTGCTGACGTTGCTTCCAGAGGCAGTTTGGAACTCGATAGTGAGTGTTGCGACCGAGGACAGACGATTTTTACGCACTACGCGCTTCAGCACTCGGCGGTCCCGTTCTGTGAGCTTGTGTGGCCTACCACTTCGCGGCTGAGCCGTTGTTGCTCCTAGACGTTTCCACTTCACAATAACAGCACTAACAGTTGACCGGGGGCAGCGCTAGCAGGGCAGAAATCTGACGAACTGACTTGTTGGAAAGGTGGCATCCTATGACGGTGCCACGTTGAAAGTCACTGAGCTCTTCAGTACGGGCCATTCTATTGCCAGTGTTTGTCTATGGAGATTTCATGGCTGTGTGCTCGATTTTATACACCTGTCAGCAAAGGGTGTGGCTGGAATAGCCGAATCCACTAATTTGAAGGGATGTCCACATAATGCTGTATATACAGTGTATATGAAATGATTTTGCAGTGCTTCATGTTCTCTTCGTTTCTCTCCAGTTCATCAGGCTATGCCAGACGCTGAAGTACTTTGGCTACATTCAGTTTGACCCATGCGTGACAGACTTCCCGGAGAAGGGCTGTCACGTGATCGTCTCCGCGGGCAACAACGAGCTCAACTTCCAGGTCAAGCTGCCCAATGAACAGATGAAAGAGGGGAGCTTCAAGGTCACACGCATGAGGTGCTGGCGGGTCACTTCTTCTGTAAGTAACCCACCCCAACATAAAGTTAGTCTATTCTCCTCTAGAGTGATGGTGCCCCTAGAGGAGACTGATCTATGGTTACTCTAGAGTGATGGTGCCCCTAGAGGAGACTGATCTATGGTTACTCTAGAGTGATGGTGCTCCTAGAGGAGACTGATCTATGGTTACTCTAGAGTGATGGTGCTCCTAGAGGAGACTGATCTATGGTTTCTCTAGAGTGATGGTGCTCCTAGAGGAGACTGATCTATGGTTACTCTAGAGTGATGGTGCTCCTAGAGGAGACTGATCTATGGTTACTCTAGAGTGATGGTGCTCCTAGAGGAGGCTGATCTATGGTTACTCTAGAGTGATGGTGCTCCTAGAGGAGACTGATCTATGGTTACTCTAGAGTGATGGTGCTCCTAGAGGAGACTGATCTATGGTTACTCTAGAGTGATGGTGCTCCTAGAGGAGACTGATCTATGGTTACTCTAGAGTGATGGTGCCCCCTAGAGGAGACTGATCTACGGTTACTCTAGAGTGATGGTGCTCCTAGAGGAGACTGATCTAACGGTTCCTAGAGTGATGGTGCCCCCTAGAGTAGGCTGAACTACCGGTTACTCTAGAGTGATGGTGCCCCTAGAGGAGGCTGATCTACGGTTACTCTAGAGTGATGGTGCTCCTAGAGGAGACTGATCTACGGTTACTCTAGAGTGATGGTGCTCCTAGAGGAGACTGATCTACGGTTACTCTAGAGTGATGGTGCTCTAAAACGGTTTACTCCTATAGTCTGGTGCTGCCTCCTGAGGAGTCTGAGCTATGGTTACTCTAGAGTGATGGTGCCCCTAGAGGATTCTGATTCCTCGTTACTCTAGAGTGATGGTGCTCCTAGAGGAGACTGATAAATGGCTAGTTTTGCAGCCCCCTTACCATAGTGGTTAAGGTTAGGATATAAGGAAGGTTAGCTGATCCTACATCAGTGCTTTTACCTGGAGAGGTCCTAGCGGGTCACTTCTTCTGCAAGTGTGGTTCTCCCTCCTTCTCTCCTCTCCTCTCCTCCTCTATCCTCTCCTCTCCCCCTCTCTCCTCTCCCCCTCCTCTCCTCTTCCCCTCCTCTCCTCTTCTCTCCTCTCCTCTCCCCCTCTCTCCTCTCCCCCTCTCTCCTATCCCCCTCTCTCCTATCCTCACTCCCCCTCTCTCCTCTCCCCCTCCTCCCCTCCCCTCCTCTCCCCCTCCTCCCCTCCCCTCCTCTGTCCCCCCTCCTCCCCTCCCCTCCTCTCCTCTCCCCTCCCCTCCTCTCCTCCCTCCTCTATCCTCTCTCTCTCCCTCCTCCTCCCTTTCCCCCTCTCTCTATCTCCTCCCCTCTCCTCGTCCTCTCCCCCCACTCCTCTCCCCTCCCTCTCCCCCTCTCTCCCTCTCCTCTCTATCCTCGCTCTCTCGGTTCACTTCACTCCTCTCCCCCCCTCCTCTCCCCCTCTCTCCTATCCTCTCCCCTCCTCTCCCCCTTTCTCCTCTCCCCCTCCTCCCCCCCCTCTCCTCTCCTCTCTCACCTCTCCTCTCCCCCTCTCTCCTCTCTCCCTCCTCTCCCACTCTCTCTCTCCTCTCCCGACTCTCTCCTCTCCTCTCCCCTCCTCTCCCTCTCCCCCCCTCTCCTATCCGCTCCCCCTCTCTCCATCTCCCTCCCCCTCTCTCTCTCTCCTCTCCTCCCACTCCTCTTCTCTCCCCCTCCTCTCTTCCTCCTCTCCTCTCACCCTCCTCCTCTCCTTCCTCATCTAAACCCCTCCTCCTCTCCTCCCTCCTCTAATCCTCTCCCCTCTCATCTACCCCTCACTCCTCTCCTCTCCCCCCACTCCTCTCCTCTCCTCCTCCCACCTCCTCTCCCCCTCTCATATCTCCCCTCCTCTCCTCTCCCTCTCCCCCTCTCTCCTCTCCTCTCCCACTCTCTCCTCCTCCGCCTCCTCCCCTCCTCTCCCCCTCCTCTCCTCTCCTCCCTCCCATATCCTCTCCCCCCTCTCTCCTCTCCTCCCCTCCCATATCCTCTCTCCCCCTCTCTCCTCTCCTCTCCCCCCCTCTCCTCTCCTCTCCCCCTCTCTCCTCTCTCCTCCTCTACCCTCTCCTCTCTTCACTACCACTCCTCTCCCCTCCTCTCCCCCTCTCTCCTACCCTCTCCCTTCCCTCTCCCCCTCTCTCCTCTCCCCTCCCCCTCTCTCCTCTCTACCTCTCGCCTCTCCTCTCCCCCTCTCTCCTCTCTCCCCCCCCCTCACTCCTCTCCTCTCCTCTCCCCCTCACTCCTCTAACCACCCCTCTCTCCTCTCATCTCCCCCTCTCTCCTATCCTCTCCTCTCCCCCTCTCTCCTCTCCCTCTCCCCTCCCCCCTCTCATCCTCCCCCTCTCCTCTCCCTCTCCCCCTCTCTCCCCCTTCTCTCCTCCCTCTCCCCCTCTCATCTCCCCCTCTCTCCTATCTCTCCCCCTCCTCTCCTATCCTCTCCCTCCCCCCCTCCTCCTCTCCTCTCTCTCCTCTCCCCCCTCACTCCTCCTCTCCCCTCCTCTCCCCCATATCTCCCCCCTCTCTCCTCTCCCTCTCCCCTCCCCCTCTCTCCCTCTCTCCTCTCCTCCTCTCCCCCTCCCCTCCTCTCCCCTCTCTCTCCCCACTCCTCCTCTCCCTCTCCCTCCCCTCTCTCCTCTCCTCTCCCTCTCTCCCTCCTCCCCTCTCTCCCCTCCTCCCTCTTCAGGCCTCTCCCCTCCTCCTCTCTCCTCTCCCCTCCTCCTCTCTCCTCTCCCTCTCGCCCCTCCCCCTCACCCCTCTCCCCTCTCTCATCCCCCTCTCTCCTCCCCCTCATCTCCCCTCTCTCACCCTCATTTCCCTCTCGCCCCCCTCTCTCCTCTCCCCCTCTCTCATCTCTCCTCTCCCCTCATCTCCCCTCCCTCATCTCCCCCTCTCTACCTCTCCTCTCTCCTCCCCTCCCTCTCCTCTTCCCCCCTCCTCTCCTCTCCCTCTCCTCTGGTAAACTGCTGAGCTCTACACCATCATCTTCTTCATCAGGCTGACAAGCCCTGACACACACACACACACACACACACACACACAGAGAGAGACCCACCTATATGTTGTCTCTAGTAGTGGTGGGGGGGTGGGGGGGGGAGTTAATAGTGGTGGGGGGGTGGGGGTGGGGGGGGTTTAGTATTGGGGGTGGGGTGGGGGGGGGGGGGAGTTAGTAGTGGTGGGGGGGTGGGGGGGGGGGGGGTTAGTAGTGGTGGGGGGGGGGGGGGGGGGGGGGGTGAGTTTAGTGGTAGTTTGCGTTCTGTCTCCTAGAGATGAACGTACTTTGGTGCGAAAAGTGCAAATCAATCCCAGAACAACAACAAAGGACCTTGTGAAGATGCTGGAGGAAACAGGTACAAAAGTATCTATATCCACAGTAAAACGAGTCCTATATCGACATAACCTGAAAGGCCGCTCAGCAAGGAAGAAGCCACTGCTCCAAAACCGCCACAAAAAAAGCCAGACTATGGTTTGCAACTGCACATGGGGACAAAGATCGTACTTTTTGGAGAAATGTCCTCTGGTCTGATGAAACAAAAATAGAACTGTTTGGCCATAATGACCATCGTTATGTTTGGAGGAAAAAAGGGGGTTGCTTGCATGCCGAAGAACACCATCCCAAACGTGAAGCACGGGGGTGGCAGCATCATGCTGTGGGGGTGCTTTGCTGCAGGAGGGACTGGTGCACTTCACAAAATAGATGGCATCGTGAGGAAGGAAAATTAAGTGGCTATATTGAAGCAACATCTCAAGACATCAGTCAGGAAGTTAAAGCTTGGTCGCAAATGGGTCTTCCAAATGGACAATGACCCCAAGCATACTTCCAAAGTTGTGGCAAAATGGCTGAAGGACAACAAAGTCAAGGTATTGGAGTGGCCATCACAAAGCCCTGACCTCAATCCTATAGAAAATGTGTGGGCAGAACTGAAAAAGTGTGTACGAGCAAGGAGGCCTACAAACCTGACTCAGTTACACCAGCTCTGTCAGGAGGAATGGGCCAAAATTCACCCAACTTATTGTGGGAAGCTTGTGGAAGGCTACCCGAAACGTTTGACCACTGCGCCACTCAGGATCCCTACACAGCCTGACCCTGTATACAGCCTGATATCGTGTTGAGGAGAAATGATAGGGAGGACTTGATGTTTCATTTCTATGAGGAGTTGGAAAGATGATAATGATGATGATTATGACCGTGGGGGAGCAGGGAGCGGAAGAGGCAGGAGATGATGATGATGATGATGATGATGACCGTGGGGGAGCAGGGAGCGGGAGAGGCAGGAGATGATGATGATTATGATGATGATGATGATGATGATGCTTGAAAGCCAGCATAGTAACCCCCCCCTCCCTCCCTCCACAGCAGTTCCCGGTAGCCAATGGCACAGCCTCCCCCTCCCCCTCCCCCTCCCCCTCCCCCTGCTCAGCCAAGTGCGACCTGAAGTTGGAGCTGGCCTTCGAGTACCTGATGAGCAAAGACCGCCTCCAGTGGGTCACCATCACCAGCCCACAGGTCAGGGGGTCAGGGGTCAGTCTGGGGTCACAGAGAGTTTGTGACCTCTACTGCTAATGTCTCTAGAGTTACTGTGTGTGTCTCTTGGATCTAAAGCTCTGGTTTGTGTCTTCAGGCGATCATGATGAGCATCTGTCTTCAGTCCATGGTAGATGAGCTGATGGTCAGGAAATCAGGAGGCAGCATCAAGAAGGTGTGTCTTTGTGGGTCTGGGTCTGTGTCTGTCTGTGTGTGTGTGTGTCTGTGTGTGTGTGTGTGTGTGTGTGTGTGTGTGTGTGTGTGTGTGTGTGTGTCTATGTGTGTCTGTGTGTCTGTGTCTGTGTGTGTGTGTCTGTGTGTCTGTGTGTCTGTGTGTGTGTGTCTGTGTGTGTGTGTGTGTGTCTGTGTGTGTGTGTCTGTGTGTGTGTGTCTGTGTCTGTGTGTGTGTGTCTGTGTGTGTCTGTGTCTGTGTGTGTCTGTGTGTGTCTGTGTGTGTCTGTGTGTGTGTCTGTGTGTGTCTATGTGTGTCTGTGTGTGTGTGTCTGTTTGTGTCTGTGTGTGTGTCTGTGTGTCTGTGTGTGTGTCTGTGTGTGTCTGTGTGTGTGGGCCCCACAGTCCTACTCCCATATGGGCAGCAACACTATCAGACACTAGTTATTGGTAGTTGTATTGTTTGTGATGGTACAGACACACTGTCCATATAACACCCAGCATGTCTAAGCTCTCCTCGAACACCAGTTTGTCATTTCCCTGTGTGTGTGTGTGTTATCTCTGGCAGATGCTGAGGAAACGTCCCAACGGCTCCCTCCACCGGTCTGAAAGTCAGCAAGCTGTGAAATCCCCCCCTCTACTGGTGAGAACAGGAACTGCACGGGACAATGATCATAAAATTGGCATTTTGTTAGCTTGAAATCCGGAGCCTGATTTGTGCTAACGTTTCCACTCCTTGTACTCCGTGTCATACCAAACATTCATGCATGACAAGTAGTGGAACGATAGCTAGACAGACTGGAACCCAGGCTAACATTTGGCTGTTTGAATTGGAAGGATCTGGTGTTAGTTTTTAATGCACCGTATTGGTGGAACAAAATTCAAAATACATTTTGATCTTGTTCTGGTGTCATTCGGGCAGTTTAAAGTATTGATTGGGGACTTATTTTGTGGAGGAATGTAACTGTTTTTCTGGGTGATTTGTGATGTTTTATTTGTGCTTCCCATGACTGTGGTTTTATATTTTAATATAGAGATAGATACATAGATATGTATATCTATATAGATTACCATTTAATATACAGGATCAGTCAAAAGTTTGGACACACCTACTCATTCCAGGGTTTTTCTTAATTTTTACTATTTTCTACATAGTGGAATAGTAGTGAAGACATCAAAACTATGAAATAACACATATGAAATCATGTAGTAACTAAAAAAAAGAGTTAAACAAATCAAAACATATTTTATATTTGAGATTCTTCAAATAGTCACCATTTGCCTTGATGACAGCTTTGCACACTCTTGGTATTCTCTCAACCAGCTTCACCTGCAATGATTTTCCAACAGTCTTTAAGGAGTTCCCACATATGCTGAGCACTTGTTGGCTGCTTTTCCTTCACTCTGCGGTCCGACTCATCCCAAACCATCTCAATTTGGTTGAGGTCGGGGGATTGTGGAGGCCAGGTCATCTGATGCAGCACTCCATCACTCTCCTTATTGGTCAAATAGCCCTTACACAGCCTGGAGGTGTGTTGGGTCATTGTCCTGTTGAAAAACAAATGATAGTCCCGCTAAGCCCAAACCAGATGGGATGGCGTATCGCTGCAGCAAGCTGTGGTAGCCATGCTGGTTAAGTGTGCCTTGAATTCTAAATAAGTCACCAGCAAAGCACCCCCACACCATAACACCTCCTCCTCCATGCTTTACGGTGGGAAATACACATGCAGAGATCATCCGTTCACCCACACCGCGTCTCACAAAGACATGCCGGTTGGAACCAAAAATCTCAAATTTGGACTCCAGACCAAAGGACACATTTCCACCGGTCTAATGTCCATTGCTCATGTTTCTTGGCCCAAGCAAGTGTCTTCTTCTAATTGGTGTCCTTTTGTAGTGGTTTCTTTGCAACAATTCGACAATGAAGGCCTGTTTCACACAGTCTCCTCTGAACAGTTGATGTTGAGATGTGTCTGTGACTTGAACTCTGTGAAGCATTTATTTGGGCTGCAATTTCTGAGGCTCGTAACTCTAATGAACTTATCCTCTGCAGCAGAGGTAACTCTGGGTCTTCCATTCCTGTGGCGGTCCTCATGAGAGCCAGTTTCATCATAGCGCTTGATGGTTTTTGCGACTGCACTTGAAGAAACTTTCAAAGTTCTTGAAATGTTTCGTATTGACTGACCTTCATGTCTTAAAGTAATGATGGACTGTCATTTCTCTTTGCTTATTTGAGCTGTTCTTGCCATAATATGGACTTGGTCTTTTACCAAATAGGGCTATCTTCTGTATACCCCCCCTACCTTGTCACAACACAACTGATTGGCTCAAACGCATTAAGAGGGAAAGAAATTCCACAAATTAACTTTTAAGAAGGCACACCTGTTAATTGAAATGCATTCCAGGTGATTAGCTCATAAAGCTGGTTGAGAGAATACCAAGAGTGTGCAAAGCTGTCATCAAGGCAAAGGGTGGCTATTTGAAGAATCTGAAATATAAAATATATTTGTTTAACACTTTTTTGGTTACTACATGATTCCATATGTGCTATTTCATAGTTTTGATGTCTTCACTATTATTCTACAATGTAGAAAATAGTAAAAATAAAGAAAAACCCTTGAATGAGCAGGTGTGTGCAAACTTTTAACTGGTAGTGTATATATTAAAATACAAAAACACAGTAATGGGAAGCACAAATAAAACATCACAAATAACCTCATATCCATATCCATAGATAGATAGATAGATGGTAGTGCGTACGGCCCAGTACATCACTGGGGCCAAGCTTCCTGCTACCCAGGACCTCTATACCAGGCGGTGTCAGAGGAAGGCCCAAGAAACTGTCACACATTGACTCGGTACCGGTACCCCCTGTATATAGCTTCGTTATTGTTATTTTATTGTGTTACTTTTTATTTTATTTTTTACTTTAGTTTATTCATTAAATACTTTTCTTAACTCCATTTCTTGAACTGCGTTGTTGGTGAAGGGCTTGTAAGTAAGCATTTCACAGTAAGGTCTACACCTGTTGTCTTCGCCCCATTTGATTTAGATACATCTATAGATAAATAGATCTATGTAGGTGTAGATAGTTTGGGTATAATGTGTATATTTATGTTGTGTATATGCAGGGTGCATTTGTAAAAGAGTCCTAGGTCTCAATAGGTTTTCCCTGTTAAAATGAAACAAGTTTTGACATGTTTGGACATTGTTTTTCCTTCTTGTCTTCTCTGCAGGACACCCCTGACCCAAACCAAGAACAGATTGTCAAACTCTCAGTGAGTAACACTTCTGCTTTGATCTCCAAAAGCCTCAGGTTGAATGTTGAGTCCATAGAATTACATATATAATCATCATTAACAGTGAATCAGAATCATCATTAACAGGGAATCAGAATCACCATTAACAGGGAATCAGAAACATAATTAACAGGGAATCATAATCACCATTAACAGGGAATCATAATCACCATTAACAGGGAATCAGAATCACAATTAACAGGGAATCAGAATCACCATTAACAGGGAATCAGAATCATCATTAACAGGGAATCAGAATCATCATTAACAGGGAATCAGAATCACCATTAACAGGGAATCAGAATCACCATTAACAGGGAATCAGAATCACCATTAACAGGGAATCAGAATCATCATTAACAGGGAATCAGAATCACCAATAACAGGGAATCAGAGGATATCTATACAGTCTGCTTTAGGTGTCTAGGGGTCAATATGGAAATATAAAGTGTCTGTTGCTCCAACCCTGTTTCTAACCCTGTCTCTCCATCTGCTCTTTATTTATCTGTCTCTCTCTCTCCCCCTTTTTCTCCTCTGTCTCTCTCTCCCCCTTTCTCTCCTCTCCCCCTTTCTCTCCTCTCTCCCCCTTTCTCTCCTCTCTCCCCCTTTCTCTCCCTCTCTCTCCCCCTTTCTCTCCTCTCTGTCTCTCTCCCCCTTTCTCTCCTCTCTGTCTCTCTCCCCCTTTCTCTCCTCTCCTGTCTCTCCCCCTTTCTCTCCTCTCTCCCCCTTTCTCTCCCTCCCCCTTTCTCTCCTCTCTCCCCCTTTCTCTCTCTCTCTTCTCCTCTCCTCGTCTCGTCGTCTCGTCTCTCTCTCCTCTCGGTCTCTCTCCCCCTTTCTCTTCTCCCCTTTCTCTCTCCCCCTTTCTCTCCTCTCTGTCTCTCTCCCCCTTTCTCTCCTCTGTCTCTCTCTGTCCCTTTCTCTCCTCTGTCTGTTTCTCTCCCCCATGTCTCTCTCTCCCCCCATTCTCTCCTCTCTCCCCCCCCTGTCTCTCTCTCCTCTCAGACCAAGCTGAGCTCTGTGTCACTCAGAGGGATCAGCGCCTCCAACTCGGCCAACGACGTCAGCGGCAACGATTTCCATGGCAACTACGCCTTTGAGGGGATCGGGGACGATGACCTGTAATATTCCCCCCCCCAACACGACCCGCAAAGATTCCAAGCCGAGCTGAGCCAAGCAGAAAGGAGTTGGTTGTCTGATTCTGCCAGATTGTAGCCTGAGGGTCTGCTGCCCACCATGTGTTCTTGTTTCATCCTCTTCATAAAGTCTGCATCCCAAGTGGCCCTCTATTACATACAGTGCACTACTTTTGACCAGAGTCCTATAAGCCCTGGTGTAGTGCACTATATAGTGAATAGGGTGCCGTTTGGGACACAGACAAAACAGCCATCTATCTCAGTGGTTCCCAACCTTTTTTTTTAACCGTGGCACACCTTGATGGGAGATCTAATTCTGCGGCACACCTAAAAATATCCCTGTTAATTTAGTTGTTGGTAATGACCTCCATCTCATCTGAAACATACTGCAAATCATCTATTTTCTGTGACAAACGTGTTTTATAGATTAAATAGGTTTTATTTTTGAACTATTTTCAAAGTTTTCATAGTTCCTCACTCATGATGGTTAATGTGCGTGTACCCTTTAAGAGAACCCACAAATATGCACTAGAATTTTTGTATAGATTTTTGTTCTGGTAAAATAGGTATTTTAATTTGTAAAGGTTTGGGCTACAGACTGGTGTTTCATATGCATTGTAAAGGTGTAACCACGGACGCAAAGCCATGCTCCATAAGAAATGAATGACTCTGGCTAAAGGCTAATCAGACTCGCCTGTACTAATGGTTCACAGACAAATCTAATTGTTTTTCACTGCCCGTCCTCTTGTTCAGCAATCCGTCAAAATCAAAAAAAAAAAAAAAAAATCCCCCTATCTTCTTAATAAATGTCAATAATATTTAGAAAAAATCTCAAACCGCAGTCTAAGCTGAAAGTGGTTTAAACTAGGACTTTGCTACTGTCCTTTTTGAAGGTGTTACTATTAGCATAATTACCCATGAATGGACAATGGATGTGTTGCGCTTCTTGACCATATTCTATGCTATTCAGCAGTCTTTCATAGATTTACTTTCTTCTGTAAAAATTAGCACATTCCTTCATTCTACAAGGAGCCTTGTCTTCATCACAGTGGCATTCAAAGTGTATTTTAGTGTTTTACTTTTTATTCTGTCACATCAGAAATCCAAGGTACAAACCAGATAACTGATTTTGTAAAAAAAAAGGGTGTCAATTCTATCTCTTCAGATGGGTTCTCTTCCTTTTGACAACCAAAACATATTACCAAGAGGAGACCGAAGCCAGGCAGGAAGGCTTTAACACAGTGATAATGAAAGCTGGTTAACCAATGAGCCGTGAGCTGTTTAGAAGGGTTGAAAATCAGTCGCGTTATTCAAACTGCAGTCATTTGGAGTTACTGCTTAGTGAAATTACTTATACACACAATGTAACTGTTCAGATGTGCCAAAAACGTATGTTTTTCAGGAACTTATTTTGAAGGGTATTTTTGTGTTATTGATCTCCCCTACTATTCACACCAGCGCTGTTGGAAGTGTGGTCATGCTTTTTTGCCTGTAAGACTATAATTTAACGCCTTAATTTTGCCCGTTGCCTCTAGTCCACCAAAATCCAGCGTTGGGTTGCCATTGGTCAACTCACCAACCACGTATCAGCCTTAGCTAATTGGAGCTCGCCAGATAGAATCTTGCAGAAGGAGACGTTGTTTGATTGGTCGGGTCGGTTCGGCTGAACTGCTTGCACTTCCTGAACCAATAATTTTGCACAGTATTATGCCGCGTTCACGTGCTAGTGGAAACTAGGAAACTCTGAAATGTCCGACTTTGCTAACTGGTTGTAGTTGTACACGTGCTGCGTTCAACCCGTTAGCAAGTCGGACATTTCAGAGTTCCGACTAGCACTTGAACGCGGCAGTACAGATGGACGACGGATATTTATTAAGTAATGTGGGGCACGAAAAACATAATGGTGTGGGGCACGAAAAACATAATGGTGTGAGTCCCAAAAGCCACCCTATTCCCTATATAGTGCACTACTTTAGACCAGAGAATGGCACCCTATTCCCTATATAGTGCACTACTTTAGACCAGAGAATGGTACCCTATTCCCTATATAGTGCACTACTTTAGACCAGAGAATGGCACCCTATTCCCTATATAGTGCACTACTTTAGACCAGAGAATGGCACCCTATTCCCTATATAGTGCACTACTTTAGACCAGAGAATGGCACCCTATTCCCTATATAGTGCACTACTTTAGACCAGAGAATGGTACCCTATTCCCTATATAGTGCACTACTTTAGACCAGAGAATGGCACCCTATTCCCTATATAGTGCACTACTTTAGACCAGAGAATGGCACCCTATTCCCTATATAGTGCACTACTTTAGACCAGAGAATGGCACCCTATTCCCTATATAGTGCACTACTTTAGACCAGAGAATGGCACCCTATTCCCTATATAGTGCACTACTTTAGACCAGAGAATGGCACCCTATTCCCTATATAGTGCACTACTTTAGACCAGAGAATGGCACCCTATTCCCTATATAGTGCACTACTTTAGACCAGAGAATGGCACCCTATTCCCTATATAGTGCACTACTTTAGACCAGAGGTTTGACCAGTGATATTCCCAATATATTGGGACGTAGCCATGGAATATTTCCAAGGGGGTTTTGAAATTGTCCATGATTTCTTAGTTCTCTTTCCCTTTTTTTGTTTCAACCAATTTAAGAGTTCTCATAAATGCCAAAATTATAGTTTACTAAAGCATTTTGCACAAAATAATCATAAAAAAATAAATAAAAAAAAATGGTATGAAGTCACTTTTTATATATGTACATGCAATTAAGAAAAAGCATTTTGAACATTTACTAATAATATCTGTATCATCAATAGTTTATTTCAGAGCCATATGTAGAGAGTTGGGCCAACTATCATGTTTTATATTCTAATTCTAGACATTCAGTTTCATAGCATTATTTAAATATTCCCCATGTAACGTTAATGGGGATTCTAACATGTCGTGTAAATGCATCATAATGCAGGAACCTCAATGGCCCAACTCTCTAAACACATGGCTCTGATTTTTATTGTAATCAAACGTAATCTAAGCTGTACAAAAGATTCAATAAATTACATTTATCATTGTTTACAGAAATTCAGTTAGTATGAAAAGTGTTTCCAAGTCCCACATCTGATTTGTGTTAATTATCTTATTTTGACAAACCACGTTTTTTGGGGTTTGTGGGACATTTGCTTAATTTCAATTTGTATTTGAAAATAAACATTGTGGCAATCATCTCCGAGAGGAGGATTGTGATGAAGGTGCATATTTGAAACAGAGTTTCTGTGATCTCTTGTCAGGACACAGATGGAAGTCTATAGGAAACATTTTCTTTATTTCCACCATTTTGTTAAAATGTCATTCCCATTTGAAAGCTTCAACATTACCTCCAGGCTTTTCCCTCTCGTTGACTTGTGGTAACAGGAGACTAGCTTGAATAGCCTACTAGTGAAAGTTGAGAGGAAGCTACAGGAATATCCAAAAACCCATATGGTCATTGAGCTACAGTGGGGAAAAAAAGTATTTAGTCAGCCACCAATTGTGCAAGTTCTCCCACTTAAAAAGATGAGAGGCCTGTAATTTTCATCATAGGTACACGTCAACTATGACTGACAAAATGAGAATTTTTTTTCCAGAAAATCACATTGTAGGATTTTTTATGAATTTATTTGCAAATTATGGTGGAAAATAAGTATTTGGTCAATAACCAAAGTTTCTCAATACTTTGTTATATACCCTTTGTTGGCAATGACACAGGTCAAACGTTTTCTGTAAGTCTTCACAAGGTTTTCACACACTGTTGCTGCTATTTTGGCCCATTCCTCCATGCAGATCTCCTCTAGAGCAGTGATGTTTTGGGGCTGTTGCTGGGCAACACGGACTTTCAACTCCCTCCAAAGATTTTCTATGGGGTTGAGATCTGGAGACTGGCTAGGCCACTCCAGGACCTTGAAATGCTTCTTACGAAGCCACTCCTTCGCTGCCAGGGCGGTGTGTTTGGGGTCATGCTGAAAGACCCAGCCACGTTTCATCTTCAATGCCCTTGCTGATGGAAGGAGGTTTTCACTAAAAATTCATTCTTTCCTTTACACGGATCAGTCGTCCTGGTCCCTTTGCAGAAAGACAGCCCCAAAGCATGATGTTTCCACCCCCTTGCTTCACAGTAGGTATGGTGTTCTTTGGATGCAACTCAGCATTATTTGTCCTCCAAACACGACGAGTTGAGTTTTTACCAAAAAGTTATATTTTGGTTTCATCTGACCATATGACATTCTCCCAATCCTTTTCTGGATCATCCAAATGCACTCTAGCAAACTTCAGACGGGCCTGGACATGTACTGGCTTAAGCAGAGGGACACGTCTGGCACTGCAGGATTTGAGTCCCTGGCGGCGTAGTGTGTTACTGATGGTAGGCTTTGTTACTTTGGTCCCAGCTCTCTGCAGGTCATTCACTAGGTCCCCCCGTGTGGTTCTGGGATTTTTGCTCACCGTTCTTGTGATCATTTTGACCCCACGGGGTGAGACCTTGCGTGGATCCCCAGATCGAGGGAGATTATCAGTGGTCTTGTATGTCTTCCATTTCCTAATAATTGCTCCCACTGTTGATTTCTTCAAACCAAGCTGCTTACCTATTGCAGATTCAGTCTTCCCAGCCTGGTGCAGGTCTACAATTTTGTTTCTGGTGTCCTTTGACAGCTCTTTGGTCTTGGCCATAGTGGAGTTTGGAGTGTGACTGTTTGAGGTTGTGGACAGGTGTCTTTTATACTGATAACAAGTTCAAACAGGTGCCATTAATACAGGTAACGAGTGGAGGACAGAGGAGCCTCTTAAAGAAGAAGTTACAGGTCTGTGAGAGCAAGAAATCTTGCTTGTTTGTAGGTGACCAAATACTTATTTTCCACCATAATTTGCAAATAAATAAATTAAAAATCCTACAATGTGATTTTCTGGATTATCTTTCTCATTTTGTCTGTCATAGTTG